CACGGGTTATTTTCAAATGATCACAACACAGGTTACAAAAAAATTTTGCACATGCCTCAGATTAATATTTAGTCACAAATTGTTGAATTTTAAGGTTACAGTTAATCCATTAACACAGATTCAAACAACTGCCGCCCGCTCCAACCACCGCACCACCACTCAAACACCATTAAAATCACAAATTCACACTCAAACAACAGTGGGTACACATTTTGTTGATCCAATTGCTACAGCCACCACCACAAAATGGTTGGTCCATCACCACACAAAACACCACCCAAAAACATAAAATCGTCACCCGCACAAACTGCTTATGCTTCGTGCGAGTCACCGGAATGGGTGGTCTACTTTTCCACCACCCAAAGTGCTTCACCTTCGACTCCGATCTACAACCACAACTAGACATCCTCCACCACCTACCCACCGCACACATCTTCCACCACCGCACTGTGCTCCTCCACAACACTACTAAAAAAAAAGAACAATGGATATGTAGCAACGGAAGGGCGAAGCGGCGTCTTCTCCATCATAGCGGCGATCTGAAAGTGACGGAGTGGATTTGCAGCAGATCTATAAAATTGATGCATTCAATAGCCTGAAATTTCAAGTCTCCGCACAAGAAGGCCAACAATAGTATTCTGGTATGTTTTTAAGCGGGCGGTGGCCATAGATCTGCTTCGCACGGCGGGCGGTGCCGGGTTGCGTAGAGAAAATGGGGGAGGACGATGAGTTGTTTTGTTGTGAGAGAAAGGCGAAAGCGACGGGTTGTGGGAGGAAGGTGAAGGCTGGAGTCTGGGTGACGCCGCTGCGATGGAGATTCTCTTCCAGGTGGCGGCGACGGGTTGCGTAGAGAGAAGAATGGAGGCGATCTGAGAGAATTTGATGGCTTTGTGTGAATTGTGCATATTATAATTAATTGTGTATATTATAATTAATTATAATATTTAATTAAATATTAAAATCTGTATCTATCTATAAAATATTTGATTTTTGAACATTAAAACTTAAAATCTGATTTTTGAACTTGGATTTTAAAAAGCAGGGCTTCATGTAATTTCCACAATTTAAAATTACAATTCTCTTCTCCTATAGAGGAAGATGTTTAATATCTCGGCAGTCGTCAAATTATAGTAGTACGGATCTACTTGTGCCTATTTTCATGCATCATATATGAAAGCATTAATCAAATATATTGTTTACTTTAATATTATTATTTTAATTTTGAAAAATGTTGAACAATATATGTCAACTATCTTGAGTAAAAACCTACTTGAGAAAATTCTATTGACTAGAATAGAAACTTGATGATTGGTTTCACCAATGAGCACAAGTTTTTGCTAACTGAACCATTTCCTAACAAACCAATTGTGGAGTCCACAACTAGTCTTGGGCGTTGGGTGGGTTCGTTCTTGTGTTTTAACATTCGAAACCACCTATTAAGATTTGCGTATTTTATAAATGGAACTATTTGTGTTCACATAATTATAAGAATCGGCCTTGAACGTGAACCTCGACTTTGATTCGCTTCTGTCCATACCATTTTTTAAAAATAATGAGTTAACAATAAAAATTATCTTTACAATATCCAGCATAAATAAAATATGCAACCAAATACGTATTTCAACACTTTCTAAATCCACTACAAATAGCTTCAAATATCTAACATCATACCAACATCAGCAGAGCTTAAGCACCAAATTACATACTCAAAGAACAAACCAAAAACTAGAAAATAACAAAAAGAAAGTACTAGATTCTACAAATGCTAAAAACAACAAATATTCATTCTTATGAAAATAATATAATAATCAACCTGTCGACTTCTCTTTTCATGTAATCGTTTCTTTTACACTCATAGGGTCATATGATCATGGTGAATAAATTATTCCAAATAATACATTTATATATAAAAAAAGACAAGCTGGATTCCAGAGTGAGGTATCTAGATTCCAGTTCATGAAACCAAGAACTACTTGAGACAGTTGGTTTTTGATTTTCAGTTCCAATTCCTAATTTTTTTTGGAATCGGACTAAGGGAGACTCTCCCCGAGATGTTCTCTCAGTTCAAAATCAATTACAATGTGACAAGCTAAATATGTCCTCGAAAAAGCTAATGAAGGAGCTTCAAAATGCTAAGGCTACTCTAAAATCTAGAAGTGGTGAAGTCTTTGCTATTTTTTTCTATTGGACCATCCTCTTCCAAGTTGAAAGGCAAATGAGGCAACAAAATGAAGGAGTTCAATAAGAAAGGAGCACAACAGTTGGCCAAGAAAGAAAGACGAATGGAAAGCTCAAGGGAAAATGTTTCACTATGGACCAAATGGTCATTGGAAGAGGAACTGTGAAATACCTAGCTTCCAAAAATCAAGATAATCATGAAATATAATCCATCCCACCACCGTCTACAGTTTCTTCATTCTCTGATGATAATGTATGAACCTATTTAAACACGACTATTGTTGGAAGTTCATCATGTCATTTTTTGTTCTATTACTAGTATCACACATGAAATGTGATCTACTATTGTCTTCGATGTCAATTGTAGCAATAGAGGTTGCGTTTAGTGCAACCGATAGGGTTCTTGTAAAAGAAATAGATTGAAAGAAGATATATTTGATGTTCTAATGTGCTTGAGGGAGCAAGATCAGACTGTTGAATACATAACAGTTAGCTAGTGCAATTGTTGATATTTTTCAACAATTATAATCTTCAGGGATACAGTAAGTTTTAGATTTATTATTTATTGTACATTGACGTTTCAATTGTTTTTATAAAAAGAAAAAAAATTAATTTATGTACAATTTTAACTTCGTCTATGTATTTCATTATATTTCAAGCATTGACAATGTAATTTTTAATTTAGAAAAATACAAGTTGCAAGTAGTTTCCGAGTTGACTTGGCTCACCCCCACCAAGGGACGTCATGACCCGAAATTTTTCGCCAGCTCATGCTCGGGTCGTTCCATGTGCGAGGGCGAGCTAGCTCGGATGGTGAGCCGTGCTAAGCTAGACAATGGACGAGCTTAATGGCTTGACTCGACCCATTTAATATCTCTAACATAACTCAATTATACTAATGGAAGAGAGGACATGTTAATTTGCTGTCAGTCTTCGACTTACAGCGTTGTTTAATTTTGATCATTGAATTTACAATGTTACGATTTGTAAAAAAAAATGATTTTTTTCCTCTTTAGTTGAGTATTATAAAATTGAAAATAAATTTGTAAAAGTCAAGTTACTTCCATGAAAAGTTATAAGTCCTACCTAATTGACAAATGACAGACTTAATCCAAACAAAAATAGGTTCAAAGTTGAGAAAATTGACCCTTCAAAGTTTAAGACTAAAATTGTTGGATTTTGCTACATATACATCAGGGTTTACACCTTGGTGTACATAATGTTCAAATCGCATTTCATCATTGACTAGTGAAAAAACTTTGACATTATGGGCCTATTCGGTAGAGATTAAAATTGGGTTAAAATTGAAAAACTAGCCGTTATTGTTGACTTTTATTAGACGAGTGAGACCCAATAATGACCATATTTTCAATTTTAATTGGATTTTAAATTGTACCGAACATACCCTATGTACACAAAGGTGTAAATCTTGATGTAATAATTCAAAATTGTTAATTCCTTCCCCCACCACCCTAATAATGAGATTAAATTAAGATATGTGGTTATATTATAACACGATTTTTAATTTGTTATACAACAAAATACACACCAACTATAACATTTTTTTCTTTTTTATAAATGCACTACAACTATTATATAAATATAATGGTAGAAGATTTAAAGAAACCTTACCCAACAATTGCATCAGATTGAAACTTACATTTTCTGGGTGGAAGGTTAGGGTTATAATTCTGACATCCATTCTTGAAATAAATAAAGAAAAGAAAAAGAGGAATAGAAAATTAATTACTAAACTGATAAATCTGTAGTAAAATTATTTTTTATTGTACCCACGTTTTTCAACATGGTTTAAAAAATTAATTGATGCATTTCATGATTATTTAGATTTCTAAATGTGAAAAATATTTTAGACTACCAAATCAATAGTAGTGCCAGAATGGTCGGTGGGAAAAAAATTAGAGCAATGCTACATGTACATAATCATTCACATAATACTGACGTGACAATAATCCATTTGTTGATGTGTAAGTGCGAAATTTGAATTAAAAGTTAGATCACATGCCAAAAAAAAAATCGAAAAATGCTAAATGTACATTGTAGTGTACATTATGGTTGATAATCCCCCTAATGTGGCACAATTTGGACAGTAATGTGAAAAGATGTTAGGAAAATCAAGGGAGATGATGATGTTCAGGTGGGATAATGTAAATAATGATGTACACGTGCCATGATTGAAAAAGTTAATAGTTGTGATGGAAATAAGAAAATATATATATTTTTTGTCAAAAGTTGTTAAAAAGTAGGGTTATTTATGTCATTTTATTTTAAAAAATATTTAAATTGTGACCTAACAAACAAAACCTTTTTCATGTTTAATCTAATTATCTTGAGTTAATCTAAAACCTGAAAGTGAAGCAAAGATTTTGCAAATTTTAAAAGCTAATACAAAAAAATAAGGACTTCTCTTAAAGTACTATTGAGAAATCATGAAATCTCTATCAATTGACATTTCAGTCCAAAGTATTTCAGATAGAATTGAACTTTCAATCGATTCCTGTACTTGACATCCTATGGATGAAGTGAAGCAAAGATTTTGCAAATTTTAAAGGCTAATACACTAAAAAAGAAGGACATCTCTTAACATCCTATTAAGAAAGTAAAACATTGAAATCTCTATTGCTTGACGATTTAAGTTCACAATAGTTCAAATAGAATCGAATTTTCAATCGATTCTGGTACTTAAAATCCTATGGATGAAGATATTGTCTATCTTACATGCTTTAAAGAGAAACTCGAACTCTTGAAGTTTATGATCAAAATGTCACTCCAACTTGTTGCCCCGAATAAGATTTAGTTAATCTGAAATTTTCAAATTTTAAAGGGTTCACTTGTAATTGTACTAAAATCAAGGACCTTACTTGAAAGACTCGAGAAAGAAGAAATTCTCCATCAATTGACATTTCAGCACAAAATTACCGCAGTAGACTTGGTTTTGACCTTCTGAGGTTGAAGGCCAAAACTGTCATTTCAGATATTTTTGCCACTGAGATTATGATAATCTGGGACCAGCCTATCACGCTGAAATTCTACCAAACTTAAAGGACTGAATTATAAGTATACAAAAAATAAGGACCGCACTTAAATGAAGCCGGATTACAGATTTCTCTAGTAATTGACATTTTAGCCCATAACTATTATAACAACCTCACACATTTTCATCACGATTCAAGAGAATATCTCAAATACAGAAGGCCCTTTTGGTCATTTCAGTTATGTGTCTAAACAGAAAATTTGACCAATTATAAGGACTGAAAAGCAAACTCTCAATTCTGAAACTTATATCTTTAACAGCCGCTTCCAGTCCACCACCATTGCTCATCAGGAAAAAATCCAAATTCAGTCCAAAACAACAGCCCAAAAAAAGAGTCTCCTTTTCCTTTATTTGGGGCTTCTTAGGTAATCTCCATGAATCCTTTCGGTGATACATTGTAGATATACATGAATTGTGTAAGAGTACTCTACGCAAGTGCAATCTGGGTTTTATTTTTTTAATTTTGTGAAAGATTTCTGTATTTCTTAACCTTTTTTTTTGTTTTAATTTATAGATTTCTGTATTAATTGATTGCTGTTTTGTAGATTATTATTGACCAATTCGTTTTTCTTTGTGTGTTCGATTAATCAATTTCAGAGGCAGAGGGGCTTGAACAGCACAACATGTCTCAGACAAATTGGGAAGCTGATAAAATGTAAGGTTTTTTTTTTTTGGTGTTTATCCGACAGTTCTATATCTTCTACTGTTCTTCTTTCCATAAATCACGTTTGTGGTCTTAATTTTATGTCCTCTGTTAGATTTGTGTTCTTGGGTTCGTGTTCTTTCAAAATTTGTTCTATATCTAATGGCAGCTTTTGTCTTATTTGAAAATGCCTTTTCCTGATTTTGTTTTTAATGCATTCTAGGGTTTTTTGTGGCTTTGCTGGATAATGGGAGTCGTTTCACGTTTTTTTTTTGTGACCTTCAGATTTTTCCTCATTAATTTTTTATTTTTTGGGGCTGCATTTTTATTTTCTTGAAGAATTTTTTTTAATTATTTTTTTTGTGTGTGGGTGGGGGAGGAGTTATGATTCTTTTTTTTAATTTTTAAAAAAAATGGTATCATGCTTTTCAACTTGTCTGCTGGATTTTAAATCTTCTGATGGTGATTTGGGGTTTTATATTTTCCCTTTTTGGAATAAACAAATTAATATCTTCTGGAGTCAACACTGTTTTATTTAATGTGTTTGGATTTTAGGCTGGATGTCTACATCCATGATTATTTAGTGAAGAGAGACTTGAAGGCCTCTGCTCAGGCTTTCCAAGCTGAAGGAAAAGTATCGGCTGACCCTGTTGGTAAGCATGTAGAAAATTTAACTGAATGAGGATCATAGAACTCATTGTTTGGAGGTCCATTTCATGTTAGAAATTATTATTTTTCATTTGTATATATGTGTTTTTTTGTCTGGGTTTCAGCTATCGATGCTCCTGGTGGTTTTCTCTTTGAATGGTGGTCTGTGTTTTGGGATATATTCATCGCCAGGACAAATGAGAAGCACTCTGAGGTTGCTGCGTCATACATTGAGGTCGGATGAAATTCTAAAAATGGGCTTTTATTAATATTCATTTCTTCTGATGCTTTGGTTGGACCAGTGTTAACAGAATTTAGTGGTTTCTCATGAATTTGATTTGAAATGTTTTAACTTCCGATTGGAGGTGATTAGGTTATCCGTTTAATTTTATGGGTACATTTGAATGATATGTACTGCTGAAACTGTATCTTAGATGACTAATAAACTATTGGTTCATGTTTAGCTTCTAGGATTATACATACACCATCTTGTCTATTTTTCTCCTCTTGTTGCTTTGTTTGTTATTCAAAATTTTATTACATACATATGAATAAACCTAATATGTGAACGTTGATTAGAATTCTTTGCGTTGCATTTTTGTGTAGTATTAGATTTCTTGTTCCATTTAGCTGGAAGTTGTTACTGTTAACTGTTACAACAGCGCTGCTGAGAAGTGCACGAAACCTTTCTCAGTAGCATATATTTGTATATCACTTGATGTGTGGTCTCTCTAATCTCCCCAAATAAATAAAATAAAATAAAATAAAATTCAATTAACTTCTTCTCAAAGCTTTGTCATCAGTATGATTGCTCAACTTGAACTTTGCCCAATGATATACCTTTTTGAAAAGTTAATTGAAACTAACCTACTGCTGCTGCTTGTTATCCATATAATTGTGCTTGGTCTGTGCAATAGTTTCTTTCCATCTCTATGCAACCATTTCTTAGTTCTTAAGAACCAAGAGTTATCATTTCACACTTAATTGGAGTTTTGGAATCAGTCATTTCCTTCACCTATTTGGAAAATGCAGTCTCAGCTAATTAAGACGAGGGAGCAGCAGCAACAACAACAATCTCATCAACCACAGCATCCACAGCAACTGCAGATGCAGCAGCTGTTATTGCAAAGGCAGGCTCAGCAGCAGCAGCAGCAGCAGCAGCAGCAACAACAGCAGCAGCGGCGGGACAGCAGCCACCTCCCGAATGGCTCGGCTAATGGTATTATTGGCAATGAGCCTCTTACAAGACAGAATCCTGGAACTGCCAATGCACTGGCAACACAGATGTACGAGGAAAAGTTGAAGCTGCCTGTTCAGAGGGATTCTTTAGATGATGCAGCTATGAAGGTAAGATGTTCATAGGAGGGCATAGAGTAAGATCAGTTCTTTGTTTCAGTGGCTAATAACATTATATTTTTCAGCAAAGGTTTGGTGACAATGTTGGCCAGCTTTTTGATCCCAACCATGCTTCTATTTTGAAATCAGCATCAGCAACTGGACCACACTCTCGGTATGTTATATACGTTAGACATTCATGGATATTATGATGTGTCTTGTTTATCTCATGAAGAATGGTGGGTGGGAGATGCTCTCTCTCTCTCTCTCTCTCTCTTGCTCTGTGTGTGTGTGTCTAGGTGCGTGCATGTGTGTGTATCCCATGTATTTTTTGGGGAGGGTGCATATTCTTGGCCTTCATTCAAGTGAGTAGTAATAGTATTGCCCTGTCTTCTTGGCTTCAGCGGTTAACTTTGTTGTCTTCTGCTGGGTTGTTCCTTCTATGTTAAGAAAGAATCACAGATGCTGTGGAACGAAGTTTATTCTTTTTCCCCCCTTATATGTTTTACTCTTTACTTGATCAGAGTTATCTGTGTCTTTATTGACAGTTATCGATCCTATTTTCAGGCAAGTTTTGCATGGTGCGACTGGTGGTATGTCTCCCCAAGTTCAAGCTCGGAGCCAGCAATTTCCAGGGCCTACACCAGTATGTATTTTTCCTCTCTATTTTTTCTGATATGTTATTTTGTTGCCTTTTTGCATATACTTTCTTCTCACACATGTGAACAGGACGTGAAGACTGAAATGAATTCAATAATGAACCCCAGAGCTGCTGGCCCTGAAGGATCATTAATTGGGATCCCTGGTACTGATCCTCATCCATCTATTTGCAAGTAATCTCTATTTTTGTATACCACAGAAAATTATTTGATTAGAATTTCCATGTACATCAGGACAATCATTTATAGGATTTATCCATTGATCCATACCTAGTGTCGATGAATACATGTATTGGTTTTGTCACTCAATGTTTGTAATGAAGCGAAATCTGAACATTTTTTCTAAGTATGGTCTTAGTAAACTTTCTAGAAGGATTTAGTTTCCCACATCGAACAGGATCAGAGTATTGTGGCACCTGCTGTCATTAATTGGTTAATTTGCCAGGTCTTATAAATTCAATTCCTGTTGTTTTAGGGTCAAATCAAGGTGGCAACAATTTGACATTGAAAGGATGGCCGCTAACTGTAAGTGTATCATGTCTTCTGATGCTCGTCACCTCTCAGTATGGACTAGCAATTATAAAAATATAATGTTGATTTTGTGGACTTGTCATCTGTGACTTTATGTTGACAGGGCCTTGAATTTTTGATGGCACTCTGGACCAGTATTGTGTTTAGGGTATTTTGTATACAATGCGTCATAGTGCTTTTCTGATGATAAAAACTTTCAAATTATCATAATTTGGTTTTTGGACTGGGATGAGTAGTTGGCCTCAATATGTGGCTTAAATAATCCTGGGCTTTTTTGTCCTTATGAATCAAGATTAAGAGGTTTTGGCTATGAAGTTATGATATATTTTTTATCTCAGAGGATTGTTTTCTGTAGCATATTGATTTTATATTTCAGGAGGACATTATTGAAGATTCTTAGATTTTGGTTGAGGCTCTCCATGATTCTATCCCAAATTCTGTATATGTACATTATACAACATATTTTGATATTCCAGCTTGAGCACCTGTCGCTTTAGGATTTGGTTTGCATCTGAGTGACTTTTACCTGCTAGTATAAGGTGTTTTTGAAATTGCCAATGATTTTATATCTGCAGCTCTCTGAAATACTTATATTCTAATACGGTTTCTGAGCTTCATATTAGTGAGGAACGTGGCATCATATTCTGTGGGTTTGCAAGCTTAACCATTTTGTTTTCCCTTTTTATACCGCTTTCTCATTGTTTTATGCCTAATTTGCTAGGGTCTCAATCAGCTTCGCTCTGGACTTATTCAGCAGCAAAAGTCGTTCATTCAGGGTCCCCAGCCCTTTCACCAACTACAGATGCTAACACCCCAGCATCAGCAGCAGATGATGCTTGCGCAGCAGAATTTGACTTCTCCATCTGCTAGTGACATGGAGAGCAGAAGGCTGAGGATGCTTCTTAATAACCCAAGTATGTCTATGGGGAAGGATGGCCTTTCGAATTCAGTTGGGGATGTAGTTCCTAATATGGGATCACCCGTGCAAGCTGGTGGCCCTGTTTTGCCTCGTGCAGATCATGAAATGTTATTAAAGGTGCCTTTTCCTTTTTCCTCATTTATTATCTTGTTTTGCAAGTTTTCATCCACGTGTTTCTGTGGCTTGCGCAGATTTGGCTAAGCTTAAATCTTTCTAGAAGATAGTTTTAAGTACTCTTTGTTTCCAAACATATTTGGATGTATATTTGGATGTATTGGTTTTCTTTCTTCCAAGTAAAAAAGGTTTCTTATTGAAAGCAATTCTTGACTTACTGTTAAAATAACTCATTTTTTTATTTTGGCTAATAATTTTTTTTTTTTTAATTTCAAAACTTATTTATTTGTAAGTAAATTTACTTAAAAGTGAACTTTTTTAGCTTAACAAAACATTCTGTGTCTTGTTACAGATTTGCACCAAAAGAGGGAAGTCTTGCAA